CGGGGTTGGACTAGATGACCTCCAATGTGCCCCTTTCCAAATCTCTTGCTCTGTTTCTGTTTAGAAACCAGCCTAGTAGAGACACTCCGTCCTATCCAAGTTGCCTTCCTCTACTACAAGGAAACGTCGGGTCTATTTAGGCTTTCGGCAGCCAACAGGTTTAAGAAGAGGCGGAAAGTTTCCCTCCCCAGCCCACCCCGATCCCTCAACTGCGGCGGGAAGGAAGCGCCGCTCCTTTGCAGGGAACTTCCTCTCGCCTTAGCGACCAGTCGCCAAGCGGGCATAGGATGGAGTTTGGGAGGGGGGGAGGAAGAGGGAGAAAGTCGGTAAACGAGGCGGCCGGCAAACCTTGGAGGAAGGGGGACTGGGAGAGCTCGGGGCGATCCTCCGGGAAGGAGTCCAGCAGGCGCTTGAAGAGGCGGCCCAAGTCCGAGTAGCTGCGGTGCAAGTACAGGACGTTCCGGTCGGACCACTCGGTTCGGATCTCGAAGAACTCCTCCTCGTCCCCACGCCGGTTGACGATCAGCCTCCGGATGCCGTTCACCCAGCAGCCCCGCACGAACATGTTGACCAGCGAGGTGCCCTCAAACACAGCCGAGGCCATCCCGCCGCTGCCCGAGCATACCAGCCCTCTGCCAGGGGGACGGCGGGCAGCCTCCGTCCTTCGCTCCGAAGCCGCTGGGCGGTCAGGAGAAGAAGGGAGCCATGGTCGAGCTTGGGCGTCGGCGGCACAAGGCGCTGCCTTCAAGCTCCGCGCAGGGCGGCCCCGGGCGCCTCCGGCATTCTTCGCCCAGGCAGAGAGACCCAGGAGGGGAGGGCTCAGCCGCCGTCCTCCTCCTCCGCCTCCTCCACCGCCGCCGCCGCCGCCGCCTCTTCTCCCTGGCTACAGTTGCCCCTTTTTTTGCCGCCACCGCTCGCGAGTCCCAAGCGCGGGCTGGGAGGAGAGGAACCGTCGGGCAAATCAGACGGGCTTCTGCTTTTCAGGCCGGAGGGGACAGGCGCGCTGCTCGTAGGGCGGCGTTGCGTTGCATCTTGTGGCTTTGACGCCTCTCTCTCTCTCTTTCTCTCTGACTCTCTCTCTTTCTCTCTTTCTCTCCCCCACTCTCTCTGTCTCTCCTCTCTCTCCCTCCCTCTCTCTTTCTCTCTGTCTGTCTGTCTCTGTTTCCCTCTCCCCCTCTTCCTTCCTCTCTCCCCCTCCCTCTCTCTCTCCCCCTCCCTGTCTCTCTCTTTTCTCTCCCCCTCCCTCTCTCTCTCTTTCTCTCTGTCTGTCTGTTTCTCTCTCTCCCTTCCTCCCTCTCTCTTTCTCTCCCCCCCTCTCTCTGCCTCTCACTCTGTCTCCCTCTTTCTCTGTCTCTCTCTTTCTCTCACTCTCTCTGTCTCTCTCTTTCTTTCTCTCCCCCCTCTCGGTCTGTCTCTCCTCTCTCTCTCCCCCTCCCCCTCCCTGTCTCTCTCTCTTCTCTCTCCCCCTCCCTCCCTCTCTCTTTCTCTCTGTCTGTCTGTCTCTGTTTCTCTCCCTCCCTCTTCCTTCCTCTCTCTCTCTATTTCTGTCTCTCTCCCCCCCTGTCCCTCTCTTTCTCTCTGTCTGTCTGTCTGTTTCTCTCTCTCCCTCCCTCTCTCTTTCTCTCCCCCCTCTCTCTGCCTCTCACTCTGTCTCTCTCTTTCACTCTCTCTCTCTGTGTCTCTCTCTTTCTTTCTCTCACCTCCCTCTCTCTGTTTCTCTCCCCCCCTCTCAGTCTGTCTCTCCTCTCTCTCTCCCCCTCCCCCTCCCTGTCTCTCTCTCTTCTCTCTCCCCCTCCCTCCTTCTCTCTTTCTCTCTGTCTCTGTCTCTGTTTCTCTCTCTCCCTCTTCCTTCCTCTCTCTCTCTCTTTCTGTCTCTCTCCCCCTCCCTGTCTGTCTCTCTCTTCTCTCTCCCCCTCCCTCTCTCTTTCTCTCTGTCTGTCGTCTCTGTTTCTCCCTCTCCCCCTCCCTTCCTCTCTCTCTCCCCTCCCTCTCTGTTTCTCTCTCCCCCTCTCTCTGTCTCTCTCTCTCTTCTCTGTCCCCCTCCCTCTCTGTTTCTCTCTGTCTGTCTCTGTTTCCCNGTAATTTACAAACTTAAAAATGGGAGGTGAAAGGGCTTCATAAGTGGAATAGCCTAAGGCCTCTTTTCATCTAAATCCGGCCCAGGCTGGACTAACTTAAGATCTGCAGTGATTCAACTTAAGAACTGTGGCAAGAAAAGTCGTAAAGTGGGACAAAGTTCACTGAGCCACTGTCTTGCTTAGCAACAACAACTTTAGGCTCAATCGTGGCCGTAAGTCGAGGACTGGCTGTAGTGGCGCATGCTACCATTGTCTTCAATAATCTCTTGCTTAATCTTATTAAACCATATTCTTGCTCTCACCCGCCCTGCCTCCAAAATAAGTGGGTAATGAAAACTACGGGATTAGATTCTGGAAAAGGCAACCTTCAATTTATGACAGAGAACAGCACAAGAGCAGAGGTGGAGAAGCATAATTTGGAAATGAAAATAAAAAGCACAGAGTAATGGAATCACGAAATAAATGTTTTGCATAGTCAAAGTCCGCGAACTTGCCTCCAGAAGTTGTGAATGCTCCATCACTGATGGGGGGGGGAGAGTCGTGCGCGGTCTTGCCACACCCATAATGCTATGCGCATGACCACAGTGTGCATGTGTGCATGACCAGCACTCCACCTCCCATTTTTGGCATGCTTTTTCGCCCTCCCCAGGTTCCGGAGGCTTTATAGAAGCCTGGGGAGGGTGAAAACAGCTTCCCCGGCCCTACCCAGAGGTTTCAGGGGCTTCCCTGAAGCCTCTGGAGTGTGAAAAACCGGCCCTATGGGCGAACTGGAAATTCGGGAACGGACTTCCAGTTTGCTCATAGGGCCGGTTTTAGCCCTACGGAGCCTTCAGGGGCCTCCAGGAGGCTTCCCTGAAGGCTCCGGAGGGCGAAAAACAACCGTATGAGCAACCTGGAAGTGACTTCCGGTTTGTCCATAGGGCCGGTTTTAGTCCTCCAGAGCCTTCAGAGGGGGAAAAACAACCGTACGAGCTACCCTGGCAAATGGCTCCGCGTGCCACCTGTGGCACACATGCCATAGATTCACCATCATGGGTATAGGTTCTCCTGCTTGAGTAAGGGGCTGGAGTAGAAGACTTCCAAGGTCCCTTCCAGATCTATTCTATTCTAACAGCAATGCTGGACTTCTTCAGACTAAGGAAGATCTTCAGAAGGAAACACATTTCTAGATGAAATTTGGGGAACTTTTTTTGAGGGGGGTTGTCAAAAGATTCCCCCCTTTAAAAACCTAATCTCTGTAGGGAAATGTTTCTTGCTGAGATTTTTTCCAATCAGTTGCTTGCACATAAGAAGTAAGAGGAACCTTAGCTAGTAATATCCTCAGTACATGCTGCTCTGTGTGTAGTTGTGGAACAAGGCGACTGTGTGAACAGAGAACCTGAGGATCACAAGGTAGTCTAATGTGAACCAGGACTTATTTTCCAAATATCTACAAGTAAGGCCTACTCTCTCTCTCACGCGTCTCTTACATTTCTACACCAGAGGTGTCAAACTCATGGCCCATGGGCCGGATCTGGCACACCGGGTGTTCAGATCTGGCCCATGGGACCGCCCTGGAAACAGTGAAGGATTGGCCCACGGTGCCTCTGCCAGTGAAAACAGGGCTCCGGCGGGCTGC